GTCCGTGTGCTTTTCTGCCGATGGCCCATTTCTGCCCAAAGTAATAATAAAAAAATACCAAAAGGGGAAAAAAGCATATGCTTCCAATTTACATATTTACTAATTAAAAAAAGCTTCCTGGAAACATTAAGCAGACTATCTTGGGTAACCTTTAGCATTGCAGCTAATGGATATCGCCTGGAAATTTTCATAGAAGGTCTTCTAAATAATGTAAATGATTATGAATATGTAACTAGTTAATATGCAGCTACGAAAGGATTATCATGTAGAGGTTAATGAACACGCTGCACTTCACGGTTTGCAGGGCTTTTGCTTTTTGTGCTTTTAGCTCACTTCATGCTTGGAAAGTCATGCATTGGCAATGGGAAGTTTCCTGTTGAGCTCTTTCTTCCTCTGACATCTAGAAAAGAGGGTATTTGAACTGGAACTCCCTTAAAGAATTTCATCAACATCTTTGTCATTTGTTCTCCTTCTCCCCGTGGCATTATTTACTATGGCCAGCCCTTAACAGTAGCTGCCATAATAGTAGCACTTCTGCAGCACATCCGTGTTCCTTTCTCTTTACAGTCTGGAGACTGAGAAACCGTCTACCTTTGCACTCTTCCTGCCTTTCTCATTTTGACTCTCAATTTCATGATTCTCAGCAGCCATATTTTACACAATATTTGAAACCAGGTAAACAGTGGTTCCTGCACAATAGTACACCTGCAAACCAGGTTTGGAAGCAATGTTTTGTCCTGTGGTTTGCTTTGAACATTATTATTTGCCTAGTTTAGATAGTAAAGCAGAATATAATGTGCCATCTGTTCATTTGACGTCTGAACTAAAGCTAGTGCTGGTGGCTGCATAGTGTTTCATAGTTGAAGTGAGATTTGAACCCCAACCTCCAGGATCATAGAAAGCTCATTATTCTCCCACCCACAATGCTCCATCAACCAGTATTATCCAAGAGCCCTTGATTATTCGGTTGGAAGTAATGGGTGATTATTTCATTATTGCAAGTTTTTGTTATGTTGTTATTTTATCAAGGTATAATCTGTAGAAAGGAGAAGAGTAAACTTAGGATAGCATAGTACAGGCAGTCCCCAAGTTACAAACAGGGCTGAGAATACAGGAAGTGAGCGGGATTTGCCCTTCCTCCCTTCCAGTAATGAGTGGTTGGAGGTCTCTGCTGGTGTGGGAATTTTGACCTGCATAAATAGGAGTCTAGTGTCTAGATCCAGGGAAGTCACGCTACCCCTCTATTCTGCCTTGGTCAGACCACACCTGGAATACTGTGTCCAGTTCTGGGCACCACAGCTGAAGGAAGGTGTTGACAAGTTGGAATGTGTCCAGAGGAGGGCGACTGAAATGATCATGGGTCTGGAGTACAAGCCCTGTGAGGAGCGGCTTAAAGAGCTGGGCATGTTTAGCCTGCAGAAGAGAAGGCTGAGAGGAGACATGATGAAGGTCATGTATAAATATGTCAGGGGAAGTCATAGAGCGGAGGAAGCAAGCTTGTTTTCTGCTGCCCTGGAGACTAGGACGCAATGGAGCAATGGCTTGAAATGACAGGAAAGGAGATTCCACGTGAACGTTAGGAAGAACTTCCTGACTGTGAGAGCTGTTCAGCAGTGGAACTCTCCGCCCTGGAGTGTGGTGGAGGCTCCTTCTTTGGAGGCTTTTAAGCAGAGGCTGAATGGCCATTTGTCGGGGGTGCTTTGAATGCAGTTTTCCTGCTTCTTGGCAGGAGGTTGGACTGGATGGCCCATGAGGTCTCTATGATTCTTTGAATGAGAGATATGGACACTTCAGAGAAAAGCACATAGGGTGATCAGAAAAGATACATGCAAGTGTAGGATTAACTTGTGTTTAACTGCCCTAAGGCAGGGGTCCTCAAACTATGGCCCGGGGGCTGGATACGGCCCTCCATGTTCATTTACCCAGCCCTCGCTCAGGGTCAACCTAAGTCTGAAATGACTTGAAAGCACACAACAACAACCCTATCTCATCAGCCTAGAGCAGGCCCACACTTCCCATTGAAATACTAATAAGTCTATATTTGTTAAAATTGTTCTTCATTTCAATTATTGTATTGTTTTAAAGTGTTTTTTGCACTACAAATAAGATATGTACAACGTATATAGGAATTCATTCATATATATTTTTTTCAAATTATAATCCGGCCCTCCAACAGTTTGAAGGACTGTGACCTGGCCCTCTGTTTAAAAAGTTTGAGGACCCCTGCCCTAAGGCAATCACCAGTGGATTCTAGGATTTTATATCAGGAAGAGGCAACACAGAGTCTAATGGGTACACTTTTTCTCTCCAATCCACCTCTCATCCTGACCATAGCTAACCACCTTTCTTTCACTTTCTGCCTCTGAAAGAGAAGAGGAAGGGGAGGAAAGGGCAGGGAGGGGATAGGAGGAGAACCCCCTCCCTCCCAACCCACCCACCCTTCKCCGGCCAGCMATGCAGCCCTCAAGTTAGAAAGTTTGCTTATGTGGAAATTAAAGTCTCACTAGAGACCGAGGGATTCCTAGAGAAAATCTTAAATCAAATCCGCAAAAGTTGAACTCACAAATGAGGAAGGCCAATTGTAATGAAAAACCTATTTGTACAACTTTAACTCACATAGCTGTTGAACTTGCAAGAGTTAAGCATTTATGTTCCCTTTTGAACACAGCGCCATGTAGTGTCCACTCTGGAGGATTTCCAAATGTGCTGGGGAAGATTTGGAGATTTTGCAGGATTTATACAGCAGTGATGGAGAAGTGCGCAATGCACGGATAAACAGCCCAGAGATGCAGTTAGGTCCCTGTTCCTGCACAGAAATGTCACATTTAGATCTCTCTTTCCTGTGCTTTGGCCCCCTATTTGCTATTGTCAAAGGAGTATGCAGGCGCATTGTATACATTCACAGATCTAACATTGTCTGGTAATTGCTCAAGGACTTTTCAGTGTAGTTCATTGCATGATAAAAAGCTCACAGCCTGCATCTTCCCTCAAAGCGGCATTAATTTTATGTAGATAATTCATTTTCCAGGTACTCTAGGCACATTGTTTTGTATCTGGAAAATACTGTTGTGAGCATTATGTGAGGAGGGTGGGTGAGTTACACACATTTAATATGCAATGACTGAAGGACAAGCATTTCACTTTCGCCTTATCCACAGTGTTGCATGCGCTTAATGGGAATCTTTGGAGGCTGTGTGCTTCTCCATTGTTTGCATTCATTTGCTGAATATCAGAAGTGCTCTATACTTTTGTCCAGCGATCAACAATCCTTTTGGAAAGCATTGGGGCTCTGTATTCCTTTTCAAGCACTACATCCCTCCCCTATTATTAAATGATAGTTTCACACACTAAATGATAGTTTCGCACACATAATTTCCCCAAATGTGGCAAAGACCTTAGAAACATCTACTTCCCAACTTCCCAGATTTTTTTTCAAACTGCAACTCTCACCATCCCTCACTATTGGCTCTGTTTTCTAAAGGTAATGGGAGTTGCAGTCCAGCATGTTTTGTTGCCCACTTGAAATGAAAAGGCAGAACAATTTCCAATGGGCAGATCTATCAAGTTTTGGTAACAGAAATTTACTGTATATACTCGAGTATAAGCCTAGTTTTTCAGTTCCTTTTTAGGCTGAAAAAGTCCCCCTCGGCTTATACTCGAGCCAAGGTTATTTTATTATTTTACCCTGTTGTTATTAGTATTTTTATTACATGTATTATTTTACTCTATTATTATGAGATTTATTATATTATTCTATTATTATTATTATTATTATTATTATTATTATTATTATTGCATTTATTATTTTATCCTATTACAGGCATTGGCAAACTTGGGTCCTCCCTTCAGGTGCTTTGGACTCCAACTCCCACAATTCCTAATAGTCAGTAGGCTGTTAGGAATTGTGGGAGTTGAAGTCCAAAACACCTGGAGAGAGGGCCCAAGTATGCCCATGCCTGCTCTATTATTACTGTTATTACATTTTCATTATTTTACTCTATTATCATTACATTTATTATTGTGCTCTTTTTATTATTATTGGAAGGATACATCAGAACATTTACATTGAAGAAGGTTAGAACAATGGTTCAATCAGAGTTGGACAGTCTTACCTAAAATTACAGTTTTATGTAAATATTCAAAAACATTTCACCTCAATTAATGTAATTTTATCGGTATCTATTTTTATTTTGAAATTTACCCATAGCGGCAGCTTTTCCCACCCTCAGATTATACTCGAGACAATACGTTTCTCCAGTTTTTGTGGTAAAATTAGGGGCCTCGGCTTATATTCAGGTCGGCTTATACTCGAGTATATACTGTAATATCGTATAGCAATATTAATGTGCAGGGTGATGGTTTTCATTTTTCTCAAGGGAGACAATAACCTGCCTCTTAATTGTCTTCAATCCAAATAATATTACTTTTCCTGTAAGTCTATTTTTATATTGTTGTTCTGTTTGTCTTTGAAACTATCACCAGAATGCATGTTTTCTTGTATAATTGCTTAAAATTTGGCTGTATTAGAATGAAACTGCAAAATGAGATTAAAATGTAGGGCTGCATTGATGCAAAGAGGAAAAGTATGTATGGATTCTGTTTCAAAAACCCACCGCTGACTTATATTCATTTCCTAAATTTATATTTGCTTCATTCTGCGAAACCTATAACGTTAAAAACCGATGTGTAGATTGTACAAAATGCTGGTTTTATCTTGTATAATATGTCAACTTACTGTTCTGGAGGATGCATTATTTCAAAATATGAGTTGGGGGGAAGATGCCATTTATTCCGGGGTTATCAGTCTGGATTAGAGGGCTGTGATAAAGTGTGCTGCTTAAGAATGAACATTCCCTCGCCTTTATGCTGACAAATAAAAATGTATAGCAAGATGCTACCAGATCTGTAAAGCTGCTGCTCTAGTTTCTGAGACATTGACTTTGCTGCAGCTGTGTGCTTAGCCTTGTTTTTTCATGAGTAGTTATCTGTTTTAATGACAGGTGGTCACTAGCTGCCAAGAAAAAATTCAGCACTGGTAAGTGGAAAACGTTTGATTGCATGCGTAAATTATCAATGGAAACAGCCTGTGCTTGTTTTTAGAAAAGCACTGTGCATATGTGCTTTAGAAAATTAACCAAATCCAAATAATGATATATTTTGGTGCCTAATTTGGTCTCTGTCCTGCTTTATTAAATTGCACTCTCCTCATTTCTTATACAGCTGCTTTAAACACACCACAGTGATCACACTCCAAGATTTGTATATCTCTTTAAAAAGATGCGTTTCCCCCCTTTTCTCACCAAGTAATTGGCAGAAAATATTAAAAATCACTGTAAACGCTGGAATTCAATGGTTTGTTTTTGTTGCTGTTCCGAGAAAATAGTATAGTCACTTGTAAAATACAGTATTATTGGGCATCACGATGGCTTTGGGAGGTATCCAGAGATAACAATATAAAAGTTTAGATAATCAAGCCTATTTGTAAAGTTTGTGAACCTTTCAAAATGTTTTTTTTCCCCAATGCCTCTGTTTGTAATGAAAATATACTATTTGAAATCTGCAGATAAACCTGGGCTTTCAGAGGTCCTTTTGCTCCTTAAAATATTATATCTGGCCTCTCGTTAGCTATTCTTTTTTTAGCTAGTAAAAACATCATAGATAAATATGTTTCTTATGAGTATCTTGATGGGAAAGGTATATTTAATGGTTAACAATTTTTATGAGTTATTGAAAGATGGCACTTGATCTTAACAGATACCAAATTATGCTACATCCATGCTGTGTTCGCTAGGAATTTGCAGAGAGAACAACAGGAGCCTTCTTGATTATTGTCTGCAGGGTTATTGCAGAATCGCAGCAACTGCCCCCTTTAGTGGAGAGATTAAACTTTTGGTTATACACCATCAAGCATATCATATTTTAAATTTATTTTAAGAGGCTTTTTCTTCATGCCCGAAAGACCTCTGAGAAAATAATTTATAGTTCATGTGTATCCAATGTTTGGTTTGTGTTTTTCTTTTAGTTTTAATGCACATAAGCTGCAAGCTTTGGATAAGAAGAATAAGAAAGGCGTGAATCAAAGCCACCCTCATGCCTCATTATATTAAATTGTAACTCTGTGTTTGGAAAAAAATCTAGCAAGAGAATATGTTTTCCTAATGTTTAAAATGCAAAACCTGCTTTAATTCCCAAATATTACGATGGTATCCACTGGTGCTCCTAGAGTCAAATTGTATCAGCATTCTCATAATACACTTCTGTTTGTCATGGCTTTAATTGTTTAGACAAGTATAATATATATTAGTCGATGTAAGTTAAAGTTGGTTCCAGAGTGCAACACGAGGTCTAGCTTTCCTCCAGGTTCTGAATCTAATGCTAACAACTATGAGAATGAAACAAAACGGGACCAGGGTTCCTTCAAGAAAGTTTTCACCAGTTCTGAAATTGGGATCAGTCCCTTCCTCACCCTTTATAGAAGGGAATGGCATGGTTTGGAAGGAGACAAGTCTCAGAGAGGAGATATGAGAGGAGATATGATAGCCATGTATAAATATGTGAGAGGAAGCCACAGCGAGGAGGGAGCAAACTTGTTTTCTGCTTCCCTGGAGACTAGGATGCGAAACAATGGCTTCAAACTACAAGAAAGGAGATTCCATCTGAACATGAGGAAGAACTTCCTGACTGTGAGAGCCGTTCAGCAGTGGAACTCTCTGCCCCGGAGTGTGGTGAAGGCTCCTTCTTTGGAAGCTTTTAAACAGAGGCTGGATGGCCATCTGTCAAGGGTGATTTGAATGCAAAATTCCTGCTTCTTGGCAGGGGGTTGGACTGGATGGCCCATGAGGTCTCTTCCAACTCTTTGATTCTATGATTCTATGATTCAAGGAGATAGATAAGGCCACTCATTGATGAGCGAGCAAATCTAATGGTTCCTTGCTCCCTTCGCATCATCTTGGGTTCATCAGATGGGAACTCAACGCAAAAGCGTAGGTCCATTCAGATGTTGGACTGGGATTTAGCTCCAGCAGGCACCATTTGCTACTACGCTAAGGAGTCCTTGCTATTATCTCCAAAATGTGAGCAGATGCATCAGGGACTTCTCACAAGAGGGAAGAAGGCAAGCTTGAAGGGCAGTGGTTCCCAACATTTTCTTGACCAGGGCCCACTTGACTGGGCACAACTCTCCAACATTAGTAGCAGAAGAGACGAGGTTGGTTAGCTCAGCGGAAATGAGCAGAAAATAAATAAATAAATATATAATGAGGAAGGAGGTTCGTGGACCGAATTTTAGTTCTCGCGGCCCACAGTTTGAGAACCACTGTTGTAGGGGAACCTATTTAGACCCTTAATGAATTGAGGGATGCCTTTCTTTCATAGACACCTTGAAACCTTCCACATTAGCAACATGCCATCCTTTAAAAAACACACCCAAAATTTCACAATGTATTACACTGCAATATAATATGCTTTGCGCAGAATAAGTCATGCTGGGTTCAGCGGTGCTTCCCTCCATCATGTCTGAAAGGGTTTCTGAAATCCTCAGCTGCTTCATTTTCAATTTCTGGACAAATTGGCCTTCATTGGGTTTGTTTACATTTTCCTTGCTATTCTTTTTTACAAGGGGATTGAGGGACTGCTTTGGAACTTCTCCCAGTAGAATGAATTGACTATCTGTCGTAAGCTTCCCTGCACTTCTCTATTCAAAGGCTATTCTAAAATTAGTAGTTATCTATCTTCTTTTTTAGGAATCAATGAGATACTAACTGGTTTGAATGTGTTAACAGGAAGAAGGTGGAGAGTGACTATGACGCTCTTCAAGAAAGACTTGGCACATTGCCAGATAAGCTTTCATACGATATTATGGTAGGTACCATTTACTTGAGTGCTAATACCAGGAAAAGTTAACTGTTCATCTTTGCAGACATATCATTGATATATTGGTTTTTGTTCAGTGTTCTACTTTGCCTTGGCATGCTTCTTATTGGAAACACTGATGCTGTGCTGTTTCTGCACTAGGTTAGCGCTAACACATTTGCAGACATTATCTGAAGAGTGCTAACCATTGCTAGCATTCACATTGGTGCAAATGTCATTATAATGGTTGGCTGTGAAAAAGAAATTAAGATCTAAGGAGGAATTCATTACTTTCTAACCATGGTTAGGTTTGAAGCGATGTACCAGAATCAAATTTATCTTAGTTATTGAGGTAAGGTATTGCAGTTAACAGTGACTGATTGTCGGTCAAATATATATATTTTCTTTCTCCCTTTCATCTAGTTTCTTCAGTACTATAATGCATTATAACCACCAGTTTTTGACTAGTGTTCAACAATAAAATCAGGCACATCTGGTAAAACCTGTTTATTATATGGAAATCCATATAATTAAATATGCAATACACAGTGATTTCAATGAAGTAGAGCAATAACAAGGAATCACATTCACTAATTTTAAGTCTTGAGTTTTTTATTCATGATATTTAAAATAAAAAAGTTTTTGGGAGCATTGGAGTACCATTCTTGTTCAAAACCTGTGCCTCTTTCACTGATTTTGAATTTGAATTAATGGTTTTAAATTTCAGAATCGGTTTTTCAGCGCAATCCAAGTACTCAAGATGTTAGTAATAAAGTGGGACATACTCTGCCTTTCACCAAACGCTACAAAAGTGGAGATGACATGAGTGACTCTAAGAGTCAGATTTCTCTCTCTCAGAAAAATTAATTAAGTAGTGGCTTGAATAGTTTCAAGCACTTCTGAACCTGAGTCCCCCAGGCTGTGGATATATATTTTACTTACTTTTCTTCTTTTGCATAAGAATGAATAGTTTAAACCTGCAGCCTTCTGGGCGAGATTTTTTAGCACTCCTGTGTTTTTTTGACAATTTTTAAGCATTTCAGGACTTTTTTTCCTCTGCAAAACATTCATGTGCAAAAAAAGGATACTTTCGTGGAGAACCCACCAAAGTTGAGGAAAGACGGTACCGGCCCAGCTTATCTATCCGAACGCATCTCTCCCTATGAACCTTCTAGGAAGTTGAGATGTCTGAGGAGGCCCAGCTCTCGATCCCACCTGCCTCACAGGTGTGTCTGGCGGGGGGGCGAAAGACAGGGCCTTCTCTGTGGTGGCCCCTCGGCTATGGAACTCCCTGCCTAGGGATAGTAGATTGGCCCCCTCCCTCCTGACCTTTCAGAAAAGAGTGAAAACTTGGTTCTTTGAGCAAGTGTTTGGAGCTTCAGCATGACCAGATAAGTTCAAATTGGAATATGAACAAGGAATGGCTAAGACGATGAAAACGAACGAGGAACTGAACTGGAAGACATAGTTTTATAATAGTTTTATAATTTTCATTGTTTTTATTGCTTTTATGGTTTTTATATGTATTATGATGTGATTTATTTTCTCTTAATCAATGTATGTATTCATATATGGCATCTAACTGTTGTCGATTTGTACGCCGCCCTGAGTCGCCTTTGCTGAAATGGGCTAGATAAAAGTGAAGTAAATAAAGAAATAAAAAGCCCCGATTTCTTCAATAATTACACCATCTGACAAAAATTGAACAATTTTCTGTTCCTGGTTTCAAAGTGTTATTTCCTGTTTAATTGTTCAGTACTTACTTTGAAAGTAGTTACTTTACTCCAGAAACTTTGTTTTTGTGGCTGCCACAAGCTGGGTTGAATTGTTGAGACTCACAGGCATGGGCAAAAAATTTTCCTTGGGGCCGCATTGTGGACCGGTCCGGGAAGGCCGGACCAGTAGAGGTGGGGGGGTCAGGTACATGCTGGGTGGGGAGGGCCCGGGCCTGGGAGAGAACAGGGCCAGGAGGGGGCAGGACAGGGCATTCTTAGGTTGTCCTCCCAGCATAAGGACAGGGATGGTCATCCTAGCTGGAGGAAGGCGGGACGTGCAGTGACTGCCCCGATGCTCCTCCACATCCTCCTGCACCAGTCCTTGGACTATCCTCTTATGTCAGGAGGAGGGCCAGACAGGATGGCTGAGAGTGCTCTGGGGGGCTCTCATCCACCATATGCCTTCCTCAAGCCGTCCTCCTGGCACAAGGATGGGACCGCTCGCACTGTCCTTATGCTTGGGAGTGGGCGAAACACAGAGCGCTCCAGAAGGATCTCAGTTGCTATATGCCTTCTTCCTCCATCTTTTTGGCATAAGGACACAGCGGACCGTTGTGTACTTCTGCAAGAGGACAGCAAAAATGAGGAGGGACTGAAGTAAGCACCTAGAGGTCTACATCTGGCCCCCAGGCCTTAGTTTGCCCATGCTCGCTCTATCAAATAGTCATTGAAAAACTAGAGCAAAATGCGCTGGAGGATGTGCTTCCCACAGGAACAAAGTTTTGGCAGTTTAATAAACTTTTTCCAAGTTTTTCTGATAGAACGCATTAGGAAATGACATTTATAACCCAGGAACAACAATAGTTTTACATAGTGATATTATTCAACAATTAAATAAATAAATAAATAAACTTTATTTATTTACTTTATTTATGGCGACAATTTTAATGTTTATATGAGGGGTGTTTTTTAAGTAAGGTCCGTTTTGTTGTAGACACTAGTAGTTCGCGCATACCGCAACGAGTGCGTGTGTCGTGTACCGGCATGCCTCGGGAACAACTGTGCTCAGTTTCCGCTCTGTAGCTAACCTGTACGGTTCTGTTCTGTGCTTTAAAAATGTTTAAGACTATCAACTCACCCTCCGCATGTGAGGTTCGCTCAGTGATACGGTTTTTGTCAGCAAGGAACCTGCCTGCTGCAGAAATCCATCGGCGTGTGAGTTGATAGTCTTAAACATTTTTGAAGCACAGAACAGAACCGTACAGGTTAGCTACAGAGCGGAAACTGAGCACAGTTGTTCCCGAGGCATGCCGGTACATGACGCACGCGCTCGTTGCGGTATGCGCGCGAACTACTAGTGTCTACAACAAAACGGACCTTACTTAAAAAATACCCCTCATATTATGTTTTGTTAATCTTATGGTTATGTTGTTTTTACTTTGTATGTTTTGTGATGTTACCTGGGAACCACTCAGAATAATAAATTCATTATTATTATTATTATTATTATTATTATTATTATTATTATTATTATTATTATTTATACCCCACTATACTCTGAGCGGCTTACATGAGGCCAATCCCAAACAACAAATTACAATAGAGTAAAACCGAAAACACAAACTAAAAACGTGAACAATAAACAAGAGCTCATACTTGTTCACAGTTTATTTGAGAACCTGTTTATTATGACATCATTTATCAAAAGAACAGGGAACTTTGAGAATGTTCTCTGCATCTCTATCCATGAATGACTTTGATGAGTTTTCCCAAAAGCAACATTTCATGTGCTGTTCATGTTGTTGAGCGAGCATACAACTTGAATTGAAAAAGAGATAATTAATGCAACTATTAATTAATAAATATACATCTGCCTATAGGTAGGAGACCATGTAAACCACAGATGAGGAACAGAGCCATGTTTTCATCTTGTCCAGTGGAGATTATGCTTATTTCCTTTTGCTTTTTGCTCTGGCAGGTTCCTTTTGGTCCCCATGCTTTCATGCCAGGAAGATTGGTTCATACTAACGAAATCACAGTCCTCCTCGGTGACAACTGGTTTGCAAAATGTTCCGCAAAGCAGGCCAGCGGTCTAGTGGAACATAGGAAAAAACGTAGGTATATCAAATCATAGCTATGCCGTTTCTGGAAAATTAGATTGGGTTAAAATTTCTTTCTCATTGAGGCATAATTCAACAAATGTTTACCTGAAACTGAAACATAGGGAGTGCTTTATGTTAACATTTAACAAATTAAAACTTGAAAACTTCCTTTTTTATAAATTACCTTCTTAATCGAAACCGTATGCATTTATCAAAATCTTGTGGTGCTGTAAATGAATTCACGAAATGGCAGTGCTGATTGCATTAACATATGGTACTGTAATACCGCTCAATTGTAAATTGTAGTAGGCAGTCTTTGATACAAATATTGGCAACAATCAAAATTGACTGCTGGCATAAAATAGAGCATCACGAAATAGGAGGCTATGCATTATCTGTTTCCTTCATGTTTTGTTTAATATGTGGCTTCTGTGTTTATGAATTATGAGAGGCATTCTGTATTTATGAGTGATGGGAGGTATTTCCTTCAATTGGATTGTTGTTAATTTTAGACTGTTGCTTTTAACCGTTGCCAGCATCTTTGTTTTAACTTAACCTCATAGAAGAGCAGTATAGAAATGTAGTAAAGGAAAAATCTCTTTATTCCAACTGTGCTGGTACGGCTGTACCAGGAGCTCCAACTTTATTTGCTTTCTATTAAATGTTTGTTTGCAGTCCTAGGTTTCAGGGACTCTGCAGATAGGTGGCTTCCTTTGGTTGCAGTCATAGGGCAAGTCACCTGTCCAACATGGTTAAATTTTGGTCCCGCCCCTTGCTCAGGGCAATTGGGAAGGGAAGGGAGCCATTTTTAGTCAGTCAGATACCAATAAAATTACATTAATTGAGGCACCAGTTGGTTAAATGTTTTTGAAAATTTACATAAAACTGTAATTCAACATAAGGCTGTCCAACTCTGATTCAACCATTATTCTAATCTTCTTCAGTGTAAATATGCTTATGTATCCTTCCAATAATAATAAATAGAGTAAAATAATAATAATAGTAATAACAATAATAGAGTAAAACAACAACAACAACAATAATAATAACAACAAATCAAAATAACCTTGACTCGAGTATAATAATAATAATAATAATAATAATAATAATAATAATAATAATCTTTATTTGTTACCCTGCCACCATCTCCCCAATGGGGACTTGGAGCGGTTTACATGAGGCCAAGCCCAAACAACAATTACAATAAAGAAAACCAAAACACAAACCGATTATATTGTTTTATTTGCTTGCTTGTTTGTTGATCTGTTGTTGTATTTATATTTGACGGGCTTGGCCTCATTTAAGCCACCGAGTCCCTTCGGGGAGATGGTGACGGGGTATAAATAAAGATTATTATTATTATTATTATTATTATTATTATTATTATTATTATTATCACAGTATGTCACAGTAAACGGGACCTATATACTGGATTTTGTATCAGAAAACCACAAGTCGAACCCTTCCCAAGCGTCTAGGACTGTGTGATGTATTTTCGAATGATGCGCGCAGATGCAAGTCAGGTGGCCTTTTGCAGTTGACAGATCGTGATTTTGTCGATGTGTATTGTTTCCAAATGCCAGCTGAGATCTTTTGGCACGGCACCCAGTGCACTAATGACCACTGGGACCACCTGGACTGGTTGATGCCAGAGCCTTTGCAGTACGATTCTGAGGTCTTGATAGCGGCTTAGTTTTTCCTGTTGTTTTTCCTCAATGCGACTCTCACCTGGTATGGCGACATCAATAATCCAGACATTTTTCTTTTCCACAATCGTGATGTCTGGTGTATTGTGTTCCAAAAGTTTGTCAGTCTGGATTCAAAAGTCCCACAGTATTTTTGCGTGTTCATTTTCCACGACCTTTGCGGGTTAAATTATTATTATTATTATTATTATCTATATAAATAAAAATGTAGTTTTCGTTTGTGGGATTAACAGAACTCCAAAACCACTGGATGAATTGACACCAAATTTGGACACAAGACACCTAACAACCCAATGTATGTCCTTCACTCAAAAAAATTGATTTTGTCATTTGGGAGTTGTAGTTGCTGGGATTTATAGTTCACCTACAATCAAAAAGCATTCTGAACCCCACCAACAATGCAATTGAACCAAACTTGGCACACAGTTCTCCCATGACCAACAGAAAATGCTGGAAGGGTTTGGTGGGCAGTGTCCTTTAGTTTTGGAGTTGTAGTTCACCTACATCCAGAGAGCACTGTGGACTCAAACAATGATGGATCTGGACCAAACTCCACATGAATACTCAACATGTCCAAATGTGAACACTGGTGGAGTTTGGGGAAAATAGATCTTGACATTTGGGAGTAGTAGTTGCTGGGATTAATAGTTCACCTACAATCACAGAGAATTCTGAACTCCACCAACGATAGAATTGGGCCAGACCTCCCACACAGAACCCCCATGTGGGCCACAGCAACGCATGGCAGGGGACGGCTAGTATATTATTATAATATTATTGTTATTATTATTATTATTATTGTTGTAATTATTATTATAGACCTCTCCCAAAGATGCTTTTTCTTTTAAAAGGTGCACGAGGAGCAGCCAATGCAATTGAAACTCTATGGACGTCAATTCTGGTTTGCCTCTGAGCGACAATAAGATTTTGAAATGGTAGAACATGTTGACTGCTGAGAATAGAGACTGAATTAAGTGTTGGGGAGGGGCCTTTGGAAAAGACAACACAGTATTTCACTAGCTATCGCTGTGTTCCAAGAAATATAGTTATCTGTGTCCTGCCAGTGCTGCAGTTTTTCTGCTGTGTATTGAATTTAATTCATTAATTAAACGAATTGATTTTTTTAGTCTTAAATTTTGTTCCTCGCCTGTGATACCAAACTACTTGTTTCCTCCGCTGGATTCACAAAAGAGGCAGCAGAGCTAATGATAACAGTTCAGCGGAAAGCCACGTCTCAGTTCCGCAAGATTATCGAAGGTGACAAAGTCGGACAACAATCCAAGCACAATCCTTCTTAAAAGACATTTAAGAGGCTTAAACGTCGGGATAGGAGGAGGGAGGTTTCTAAAGTCTCTCTGGCTCCTGACTTGGCTTTGGTTTAAAACAAACTCACTTGAAGTTTGTGTTCCTTGCTGTATAGCAGTGTGCATTAAAATAGGGTAAGAGAACACAAGAGTCATATAGTCTCTTTTGTTATAAAAGCGTTTACAAAATTTGGCAATATCACAGAGTAAAATCAAGTGAAATGTCACGAGAAAAGGGCTGGAGTCTACTACATAGTTTGCTTTTTAAAGGTTAAATGAAGGCATAGGAATCTCTATCTTGGATTGGAAAAAGCTTCTTAAACCCTCACTTTGTTTAGTTCATCCATAGGGAAAACATAGTAATAATGATAATAAGAACAATAACAACAAAAACAATACATTTCATTTGTTACTCGCCTCTCCTGTTGACTTAAAATAGGGTACAACAAAGTAAAAAAAATACACACATACACGTAAACACACAATAATAAATAAAATAAATAAATAATAAAATTAAATTAAAAATACATCAGACATAGGATACAAAAATCAACACACATACAATACTGTGTATTGTTCAGCTCTTCCAGTACACAAAGTACCTGAGAAAAGTGCATTTATTTATGTCTTTCACATATTTGTATCCCGCCCTTCTCACCCTAAAAGGGGGTTCAGGGTGGCCTATCAGCAGACAGCAATTTGATTCCAATACATATAAATATGAAAATAAATAAATGCAATTAAAATCATACAATTAAACATCAAGTTAAAATCACGTAATCCAGATCATTGTCCAAGGCCTTTCCAATTGTCAGTTTCATTAGTCCATCATCCTTATTGCACTATTTACTGGTTGAATGCTTGGTCCCAAGGCCACGTCTTAAGCTTCTTCCTGAAAGATAGGAGGTAGGGAGCTAACCTGATTTTATTGGGGAAAGAGTTCCATAAACAAGGGGCCATCACTGAGAAGGCCCTGTCTCTCGTCTCTACCAATTGTTCTTGTGAAGGTGGTGGGATCAAGAGTCAGACATCCCCAGATGGTCTTAACTTAACTGGGTCATAGAGGGAGATACATTTGGATAGGTAGGTGGGCCAGAACCGTTTAGGACAGTGGTTCTCAGCCTGTGAGTCTCTAGGTCAGTGGTTCTCAACCTGTGGGTCCCCAGGTGTTTTGGCCTGCCACTCCCAGAAATCCCAGCCTGTTTACCAACTGTTAGGATTTCTGGGAGTTGAAGGCCAAAACATCTGGGGACCCACAGGTTGAGAAGCACTGCTCTAGGTGTTTTGGCTACAATTCCCAGAAATCCCAGTCAGTTTACCAGCTGTTAGGATTTCTGGGAGTTGAAGGCCAAAATATTTGGGGACCCACAGGTTGAAAACCACTGTTCTAGATGGTCATTGAGGGCCTCCTAAAGTCGCTATATAGATCTAGATGGTCCTTGAGGGCCTCCTAAGGCCACTATATAGATCTAGATGGTCATTGAGGGCCTCCTAAAGTCACTATATAGATCTAGATGGTCATTGAAGGCCCCCTAAGGCCACTATATAGATCTAGATGGTCCTTGAGGGCCTCCTAATGCCATTATATAGATCTAGATCAGTCGTTCTCAACCTGTGTGTTCCCAGGTGTTTTGGCCTATAACTCCCAGAAATCTCACCCAGTTTACCAGCTGTTAGAATTTCTGGGAGTAGAAAGCCAAAACATCTGGGGACTCACAGGTTGAGAACCATTGGTTTAGGACTTTATAGACTAAAGCCAGCACTTTGAATTGTGCTTGGTGGTAGACTGGCAGCCAGTGAAACTGACATAACAGGGGTTGTGTGCTTCCTGTACGCTCTGTGTAGCATTGAGGAAACTGTGTGATGGAAAAGTTTAACACTCCCCACAATTTCTTTGTCCCATCACACATAGGTCTGTGATTCAAACATGCAACAATAGCTACTTTTGCCTATTAAGAACATTTGAGATAAGCTGACCATGAGCCCCTCTCACAGTCTCATC